GCGTGTTTACCAACGACAAACTCGTTGAGTTTAAACTTCTCACTGCCCCACTAAGGGGTGAGTGATCTGTAGCGGTAAATAAATAGCTCTGTAAGTTTTCGACATTGGATGCTGACCATATGTTTTAGTGGACTCATCTAGCTGAAGGCGCTCGGTCAGGCATCCGCACCAGATCGCGTGTGGTAACGCCGTGCTCAACATCAACCGCAATCGCTGGCCAGATTAGATCAGAGAATTCCGATATATTGGTCATCGCCAAATATACTCTTCCGATCTCCTCGACTCAGTCTTTTGATTTCTCTGGGTGGGAACGAAATACATTAGAAGGTGTTACTGGTAGAGGCGTTGTCAAACACTGAATACCTGTGACATGATCAACGGCATGCGGTAATGATAGTCACGGTAATTTATGAGACATGACTCAGACACAACTAGTCCACAAGGAAACCTGGCAAGCCGTGAGTGAGAGCGTATCTGTCAAGTCACTTCATTCGGGATAGCATCCCAAACGTAGATCCTGTCCACATAAGGTTTCCGTTTTAGCCCTATCACTCACTGAGTTGCCCATCTACGTACTTGGTCAAGGAGACTTATGTCTCTTTTGGGAGAAGGACGCAATGAAATTGTGAACTGAAAGTTGGGGTCATGAGTACGTCTCAAACGGTGTTAGGAAAGACTCCGTGGTGATTGCACCACATAGTCTTCACATGAAGTGGAGATTTGCGTTTGACCTAGCTGCAACCCATGTAGTTTGAGTTGACCTCTGGGCTTCCCGTGGTTGCAAGCCTGAGATCAAGCCCTGAGGAGACAATCGGGAGAGGATTTCCATGGAGGGTGCAAGTGCTTTGCGTCAATTGACGCAAAGTGTTTATGACATGACATTTCAACTAGTCACGTTTCCACCCATTATCTACTGTTCATTACCCTCTTGTTTTAAGGTCCTTCTTAAGCTTGAGCGAATCAGTTTCTCTTCACATGGAACTCTACATCCTTGCATTGTCTGCATAGATTGTTGCTGCTAAGCTGATGATATCTATCAGATCGTTTATAAAGATCAAGAACAGTAGTACCCCTCCGTGGAGCGCTCCGACTATTATATTGGGCATTTGAGTCTTTCTTGAACTCATATTCTAGGGTATGAAAGTTTGTGATCTGTCTCTATGACCAGTGAGCATTATAACATGTCAACCTAACTATCAACTGGTATAAGGGTTGAGAGGTGTTCAGCAACTGCAGACTCCTGGTTTGCTTTGCATTAAGCATATCAGCTATCTCTAAGGTAGTGATATCTTTGCTATTTAGGTTAGTGAGGTAACAGATCTCCCGGCTTGTAGGTTTTTCCCATAGTCATGACTCTGTAAGGGGTCTGGCTTGAATATTGGCTGCTGGCTCGACCTAAAAATGTCTCTCACTGAGGACTTGGATATGCATCTGTTCCTCAATGCCAAGTAACAGCTACGACCAGTGTTTTTCGGTGATACTTTGTGATAATTAAGACTGGCTGACTTTCTAATTTGAACACAAGATAATCCTAATTTCAACACATTTACGAAGTTGCTATTGGATTTGATTAACATTAATATAGTCACCAAATACTTTCATCGTTCATAATTTAGGGTATAAACCACCAACTGTAGTGGCATTGGACAATAGCCACACAATCCACAAAGCTGTGAACACGAGACTACTCAGAAAATAGATATTCAGTATTTAATGCGGAGAAATACCTAACAATGGAGAAGGCGCGAACAATGAATTGAATGGACTGGAGTTGATCGAGTGGCATGGCTCGGCCATGCAGGCGTGGTCTCTGCTGAACGTTACCTTATATCTTCTATTCATATTAAATATATTGTTCTTTCTGTAGCCTAACCTTGTTCTACATCATGTATTGGTAATTGATACGATACAGTGAGTTGGTGTAGTCGATGGTGTGACTTCCACGTATGATCTTATAGATTGGGCAGTTATATCATGACAAATCTACAAATTTAGGATTAGGTCTATTATTAGAGCAATACTCATATCATGAATGACCATAATTTTACACAACAACTGTAATTTGTTAGATCTTTTTACTAAACCTATCTGCACTAACATAGTTCTAATTTGTTTAACTGTCAAATAATGTGTACGCAAAAATTTCATTTTGATTGTCTGGACTGAAACCAAACATGGTGAGATAGTTACATTTATTTCCCGATCAGTCGATATTTCTTTTTTTTCATTTAACTCCGGTTTATCATTCTCCGGAGAATTCTTATTAATACAACGGTAACTTACGACGCGCACCATTACCGCTTGCTTTTGTATCTAACCAACGTAACGTTGACTCTATTAGGAGAGGAATTTAGCTTTATTGGTTTCTAACTACATGATCATCGAAGCTGAAAAGATTGAGATTTGACGCCTAACACTGAGTGAAGTTCAGGAACGGTAAACGCGGGAGCACTTAATCGTCATGGCATGGATCGGTCATGTGTTATAGCTTCTTTTTCTATTAATTTCATTCCTCTATTCTCAGGCCAATTATGCTGTTCAGAAGTCTTAAATAATATAAAGCTCACTGTCAGATAGGACGAATCAATATAGACAATGATCTCACTTTCACATATAAACATTAGGAATATTCAATACTATCACTAAATCTGCATTAAACACTATCCCCTCTAAAGTTGCTTTTAAAACAATTTCTCCCCTCATCAACCAAAAGGCTAGGCCTAAGCTGCGAAAACCAGAATGGATTTATTGTGGATCGGAAGACGTCAGTGCCTAACACCAGATATACCCTACTTGAAGGAGTGCAAAGTCAACACAACAAACATAAACAGGCAGAGAAAGGTACTGCGCTAACTGCCTCATCTAAGGCCCAAAACTTATAACATCTTCAAAAACACATGGGAAAGAATACAGATCACAATATTCACTCCATATTACAGGATGGTGTGACGCATTATGACTAAACTATCATTTGTGAACTGTTAAGTGGATGGCTTTCCCACAACAGGAATACATCTCCTGCCCCAGATATTGTAGCGTGGAGTTGAGGCGCGATTGACTATGAACACCACTACAAGAAAGCGCGTAACAGAGAATCCAGATGGCCAAGATGGAGCGTAACCAGATTTATTTCGCTGGCGATCTCGTGGTGTCGAACGAATACCGAGATCGTGTCAAAAGGAATACAAGCGGAATTACCGGGCGTGAGTACAAGCGCACAAGGTCACAGTCCACAAGAAAGTAATGGAGTAGTAATATGGCTGTCTTTAGCACAGTTAAACAAACAAGCATAGTAAAACAATCATTGGTACAAATGGTTATAGTAATGATTGTTCCCATTAAACCCATCGCGTTCTATTGATAAAAGTAGGTTACTACAATATTGACGTCAAATGCATCAACAAAAATTATCTTAGAACCATTAACTTTGTAGGAGTATGCATACCGCGATTAAGACCCTTAAGCCAAATGCGAGTTCTGGTGCCGATAACATCCTATCGATTGTGAACAAAGTACCAGGACCGGACGAACTAATGCTACCACTCAAAATATTCACGTCATCTTTAGACTTGGGTACATATCCCGAAACCTGAAAGGTAACATGTGTTCTTCCCAAACACAAATCAGGACAGAGAAACCTGGTCGAAAACTACAGACCTATAAATATCACTCCATTCATATCACGCATGATGGAAAAAGTGATGCAAAATCAACTACCTAATCACCTACTTAAGGAAGATCAAATAAACCCATCACAACACGGCTTCATTAGAACAAGGTTGTGCAGTACATGTCTGATAGACTTCTTTAACGAGGTTACTCGCATACATGACCAAAAGAATCTAGTGGTTATATTTCGACACTAAGAAAGCCTTTGATAAGGTACCACATAATCTTCAAATTAAAAGACCTCAGTCAGTTGTAGTCACAATTGTTATTGCAATGAATTTAGTCTTTTCTCTCGAACAGATTCCAAATAACCAAAATTGACTATACATCTACACCTCGACCAATAACCAGTGATGTAGTGCAGGTAGTGTCTTGGTTTTTTTTGCTTTTCACAACTTACATCAACAATGTATGCAAATGTATGCGGACACAGTTAAAACCTACCTTTACGCTGACGACCTAAAATTAATTTATAAAACTAACATTTTCGATGTACGTAGTACCGTAACAGCTTAGGTCGATTGGTTTAGAATTGGCCCCAAACAACTAAATAAATATCAAAACAATAGAGCTCAAATATTCATTCACGTCCTTATTTTGTATAGGCGTTATGTTTCCCATTATCTTATATTGAATGTTGGGGGGCTTTGTGTCTGCGCTACAATCGAAATCAAGACCTATTCAATATTAGTCCACCGGAAAGAGAACGCTGAAAAAGCCTCCTCAGCATTTTTATGCACTGTACTGTGATTTATTTGCTTCTTCTCCCTGTCGTGTATTTTAACCATTGTTCAGATCTCTTTTGACCACACTTTATGTTCTTCAGTCTTTCTCGTCTGAGCTTTTGTCATGTGATTTTGATTAAAGACTTACCTCTTGTTACCTAATTTTTTATCGCGTGTTGCCGGACTATTGACCCTAAGGTCGTGTTTGACTAAGCTCAAGGTCACGGCTCAATGTGTGACTGTTGACCACTGACTGCCTGCTTGATAGGATTACTGGAATCCCTGCAGATAAATACCTGATCCCTTCTTGTTGGGAATATTTTTATTGATTCTCAGGTACCAAACTCTTTTGTATTAACTGTTTCTTTTGTTGTTCAGCACTCTAATTTGTCGTAGAGAAACTTTTGACTTCATAGCACAAACTTTACCGTTTGACGTATCTTGTACTTTTGATATAAGTTATTCTATTTCCTAAATTAGAACAGTTTAAAGTGAGCATAGAGTTTGCATTTTGATATAACTTAATACGAGTATCTCAAAAACGCTTCGTACGCTATATACAAGAACGTGGTCTGGTCTTGTCGAATAAATTTTGGTTCTTTAGTTATGCGTTCAAACCGAATATTTACATTTTGGTCGTTACAACTGGCCTGGTTTCTTCTATCACAAGAACGAGGGCTACCTACAGGGACGAAACTAGTAAGCCGTGTCGAACACAAATTCAACTTCATTTTTATTATTAAATGTATTTTTTACTTAGTCGTAAAAGTAGACATTCAGATTATCGCTAACCAAAGTTCGTTATATATATTTCCACATAGTTTTCTGAATATCTTGAGGTATTCGCGCCGCAGTAATCATTTTTCACTCTTATTATATAACTATATTGGTCACACATCTCATGTCAGACTCAACACATACCTAAAACCCGGAGGATTTGTCACCAGTGACCCTGAGTTGTGGTTTGCTCAACTACAGTATTACTTCATGCGACACAATATTAAATCTGAAGGAATTCGTCATAGCGACGTATGTTCTGTCCTCCATCCTTCAGTCGCCAAAGAAGTCCGTGACTTGATTTTAAGCCCACAACCATACATCAACCTAAGACGAAAGATAATGGACCGTTTATCATTATCAGACAGTCAAAGAATCCACAGGCTTTTCCAAGTAAAAACATTAGGTGATAGGTCACCGTCACAGATTTCACGTCACCTCCAAGTCCTAATGGGTGATAACACAGTGGATTCAAATGGTTCAAATGGTTGTAGACGGAATAGAAGTAGCTTTCGCTTAACAGGCTCCTGTGTCTAGTGGCAGGGGATCACCAAATCCTCCAGGCAGGAACCTAGGTATTTAACAATAAAAGAGGAAAAGAAATTAGTAAATCATAGTGTGATACTATCCTTAGTCCTTAAGAATAGATCAAGTTGCCTCTTAAAGCACTCCTGGGAAGTCGCTTGGACTAGCTCGGCCGGCAGCGCATTCCAGCATTTGACAACTCTTAAGGAGTAGAAGTTGTGTCCACAGTTTTTGGGTGTTACCTCTTAGGTTAGTGTTGAAACTAAGCTTAATTACGTGTTTGAGAGTATGTCCAGAAGTGTTAAGGATACTATAAGCCATCAGGTCACCTCTAAGATGTCTATACTCTAATGAGTAAAGGTTAAGTGAATGGAGGCGCTCTTCGTAAGGTTTAAATTTGAGTCTTCGAACTGATTTCGTGGCTCGCCGTTGGATACGCTCCAGGGTGTCCTTATCCTTTTAGAATGAGGGGAGAAATACTGTGGTTCCGTACTCTAAATGGGGACGGATAAAACTATTGAAGATTATATGGAAAATTCTTCCGTCAAACTGGCCAAAAATGCGCTTCAATGTTACCAGTGCAAGGTTTGCTCGGAAGGCATCTTTGTCACAGTTAGCGTAAGACTTGAAATCATAGGGCACCAGGACTCCTAAATCTTTTCGACTTGGGATACTACTAGAGAGGAGTTTCCTAAGTTGTAGCTGTAGTTTGCGACATGTCGCAGATGGAGTACTTTACACTTTGAAGTGTTAAAGTTAAGTCCATTATCGTCTGCCCAACTTTGAAGTCGAGTCAAATCCTCCTGAAGTGCCTGTATATCGTCTTGGTTGCGTATCTCTCTCCAAAGTTTCATGTCGTCAGCAAAAAGTAATAAGTCTGACGTTACCTGTTGAGGAAGATTATTTATATAGATCAAGAAGAGAGGAGGTCCTAGTACTGAGCCCTGGGGGACCCCACTATGACATTCCATAGCCTGAGATAAAGGGAAATTAACCCTGACCTTAAAATGTCGATTTTCCAAATATGAAGTGAGCCAATCGATTAGAGGTGGTCTGATACCCAATCGTTTGAGCTTATTGATAGGACATAAATGGTTAACCTTATCAAAAGCTTTGGAGAAATTTAGGTAGATGACATCAACCTTTCCCTTGCGATCGAGGATGCTTGTCCATTTGTCCACCGCAGTCAGCAGGTTGGTTATACAAGAGTAACCCTTCCTGGAACCATGCTGTTGAGGTGAGAAGAAATTTAAGGACAGTAAATAGTCATTCGTACCGTCGCATATCAGGGACTCCATGATTTTTGAAGGTATGGAGAGAAGAGCCACCGGTCGGTAACTTCAAGGTTCGCTGCGTCGACCTCCTTTGAAAATTGGTGTGATGTGAGCCAGTCACCAATTCTCCGGTAGTTCTCCTCGACTTAGCGAGTGTGAAAACATCACGCTAAGCGGCGTTGCCAGGATTGAGGCTGCCTCACTCAGTATGGCGGAATGGACCATGTTCGGGCCAGGAGAAGTGTCTAATCTTAGGTGCTGCAGTTTCCGGAACACCAAGTCAGCGCTTAGGTTCACTTCGGAAAGTCCTGTGGAATTGCAAATGAAATTGTCATCAGTAAAGTTAATGTCGGTCGGTTGAAATGTCTGCGAGTAATGTTCAGCCAGAAGGTTAGCGGCGTCGCCATCGTTGTTGGTCGGGCCGTTAAGACCTAGCAGGTGGGAAACTCTAGTTTTGGCTTGACGAAGAGAAGCTGCATAACGGAATAAGCTTTTAGGATTAGAGGCAAATTTGTCCATAAGCTTTGTCTGGTACTGAAGCCTATCTTCTCTTATAGCCTTCGTGCATATGTTCCTGATATGTTTATATTGCCTGTATGCTCCGTCGTTGTCAGCTCGTTTGTATTCCGCTCAACAGTGCCTTTTGCGGCATAGCAGGCGAGGGGTACGATTCTTGATTATTGTAGGTGGCTTGCAGCTTTTGGGAACCGTTTGAGGAACTGAATGGTTTGTGGCACGTAAGAGTGTGTGCAGTAAGAAGTCCCAATGACCGTCCACATCGAGTAGGGGGTGAACATCCCAAACCACCTGTTGTAGATAGCCGTGTAGAGCTGGCACATTCAACCGTTTAAATTTCCAACGCAAGTTATTGGTGGGGTATCTTAGCTTAGTTTTGCTGACAAAACTGAAGGCTATGACGGCACGATCGCTTTTTCCCAGGGAGCCAGGATTGAGAGGTTGTCAACTAGGAATTATTCGTTTGTGAATACAAAGTCTAAGCGCGATGGTGTCTGACTGTTTCTCCAACGAGTTGCCTACCTCACATTTTCATATAAGCCCAAGTTATCGATGAGGTTGAAGAACCGAGCTTCAGTTGAGTTGTCGCCTCCAGTATACGTGTGTTCCGCGAAGTTGACTCTAGGTAGATTAAAGTCCCCTAGAATCAAGATGTGTGTGAAACCGAGACGAGTAGAGCGGTATAGTCCTTCCAGCATACGACTATCGTACTCGATGTCGGCAGTTGGCTTCCTGTAAATGACTCCGACTAGACAATCTTACAGAGCACCATATAGATTCCTCGCGATTGTTAAACTCGAGGTTATGAACTTGATGCACCTCCAGGCAAGAACGTATGTAATCAGCTACTCCACCCCCAAATCCTGATTTTCTGTCATTGTGGAACAAAGACATCCTGGGTAATGCTAACTCATGGTCCGAGAACTGAGAAGATATCCAGGTTTCGGATATTTCTACCAGATGTGCCTTATTAGCATTGCTAAGTTGACGTAGTTTATCCAATTTGTTTGGTAGACTCGCGGCGCTCATATATAAGCAGTTTATGCTTTCAATTTGGAACGCGTGAGCTTCCTCCTGTTTGTCTGCGCAAAGGTGGCCCAGATTGGCATAAGCCGCTCTGGCTTTCACTATTCGTGCATTGATCTCATCACTCACACCCCCACCAGCACTTATGCAGCTACCCAGATACACGAACTTCTCAACTACATCTATCTGCTCACCGTCCAGGGTGAGTACAGGATTAGAATCCTGCCAGTCTTGTAGAAGTACTTTGCACTTCGAAGGTGCAAAGCAAATACCATACCTACGGACATTGATTGCCAACTGATTAAGTGCGGATTGCATGCCTTGGGCATTATCGCACAGTAAGACAATATCGTCCGCATACTCAAGGTCGATAAGTCTTTCTCCAGACAACAGATCCACACCACCATTACTTACATCCATCAGAGCTGTTTCCAGAATGTCATCGATGGCAAAGTTGAAGAGGAATGGTGAGATTGGGCAACCCTGCCTAACCCCACTGCTCGAATGAAACAATGGAGAGAGGTGGTTGTATGCCCTCACTTTGCCTGAGGTGTTTGTATATAGGGCTTTTGGGATGTTAATAAACTTCTCAGGCACACCCTTCTTCAATAGACAATCCCAGAGAACAGTCCTATCCAACGAATCGAAGGCAGCCCTGATGTCAAGAAACACTACGATTGTTGGCCTTTGATAAGTGTTGGCGGTGTTCTAACATTTGGCGGAGGGCGAAGATATGATCAATACATCCTCGACCAGAACGAAACCCAGCCTGCTCCTCGCGAGTCAATCTTTCTCGGGTTTTGAACAACCTACGAAGAATGACGGAAGCCAATAGCTTGGACGCAATCGGAAGTAAACTTATCCCCCGATAGTTGCTACAAGAACGACGTGAACAGTTTTTAAAGATAGGGACAACTATCGACTCATTCCATGACGTTGGTACACTCTCTAGTTCCCAGACCTTTGTAAACAACGTCGTCAATTCCTTAGTCAAAAAGTCACCACCATCTTTAAAAAGAGCCGGAGGTAAGTCATCTGGGCCAGGTGATTTGTAACGCTTCAAGAGTTGGAGTTCCTTGCGGACTACCTCCTCATTTGGTGGATCAGTCGTCACCGGCCATGGAGGGCAGGACAGTCTGACCGATGTTGCCGGAGCAGCAGGCCAGTTGAACTGCCCTTCGAAAAATTCTGCCCATCGTCCAAGACGTCGATGGATGTTAGTGATTGGCATCCCATCATCCTCGCAGATTGTTTCACTCACACCAGACTTCTTGCTGCCAGTGGCTCGGATGAGCTTCCGGTAGTTACCAGATGCAGCTGCTGCTTCCAGCTCATTAGCACGCATCGACCACCAGGCTTCTCGGTCCTTACGCAAGCTTCGCCCGATTTCCTTACGTAACATCCTTCGTTTATGGTCAAACTCACGGTCACCCGGAGTAGACCGACGGGCTTCAATGAGTTGTAAGGAACCAGAAGATACCCAGTGCTTAAAAGCGGGACGTTTCGCAAACCCACAACTGACTGTTTCCGCCATTTTCATGGCGTCATGCAATTGCAACCAATGCTCATCTATACTTTTCGGTGGAGTGGTAGCTAGCCTAGAGGCTAGCTCGGTTCGATACTTACTTGCAACAGAAGTTGCAACCAGCTTGCTAACATCAATCCGTTGATGGCGTTCACTTCGTTGTCCACTGAAAAGTAAGGCAAGATTGGCGCAGACCAAGGCATGGTCAGAGTCCAGATAGGTACTCCAAAAGGAGCGGCAGTCTTGTACACAACCACGCCAGCGGTAGCTGATCGCGATGCGATCAATCTGAGTCCAGGCTTGAGATGCAGAGGGAGGACGCCAGGTGGCACATCGGCGATGACTGTGCCGAAAGTTAGTGCTAGCCAGAAACAGGTTGTGGTCTGTGCAAAGTTGCACTAGACGGTCCCCGTTATCTGACCTGCGACCAACGAGTCCCCATCGGCCACCTAAACGACTCTCTTCTGTGCCTAGACGCCCGACCTGAGCATTCAAGTCTCCGGCTAGTACTACAATATCTGTCGAACGCACTTTCTGGAGAAGAACTGATAACTGGTGGTAAAACTCATCCTTGATTGCATCCGGGCTGCAATCTGTCGGGGCATAGGCGGAGATGACGAAAAGACATCGTTTCTCACGCCGATTTCTTCTCACTTAGATAGAACTTTCTAATCTAACAGCACATAACCGACTGTTAATGGGGATCCAATCGACTAGTGCTGCCTCAGCTCTAGCGCTTAGTGCGACACAACGCCAGCAAGACCAGACGAAGATGCCACATGGTCCACCAAAGACGAGCCGCTGTATAAGTATAAAAGAGGGTGAATAATGTGGAAAATAATAATAATAATGATAATAATAACAGTAATGACAATAATAGTAGTAATAATAATATTAGTATTAATAGTGACAATAATTGTAATGATAATAATCTGAATCAATTGTTTGTTTTTCAAAGCGACAAAAGTAATTTCCATAGGCATAAAGAGTTCATCAATTTGTGTGTGGGCTGTGATACTGCCCGGGTGCCCAAACCGAAGCAGGTGGTTTTCTTAGGGGGCCACTCCCCGAGCCTTTGACCTAAAGGTCTAACCCATAAGGCAGTGGAGCATCGTAAGGAGATGCAGTCCCATGGTAGCCGGTGACCAACGATTGGTTCATACGCCATTCGTTCCCGCAGGATACTGGAGCCCATGTGCACCATTGATTTGGGATCCGGTTAAAGCGCCGGACATTCGCTTTTCGTCCTCTCATTTTCGTAAACAACACCCCCGCCAAGAGAAGGCAATGAGTAGGACTTCCCTGGCAGAGGCTGTATACGCGTGGCCGTGTGAGAGTATTTCGAGAGGGAGAGCGGACTCTCCCCACTCTCGGCCGTACCAGGGCATTAAGGGGGCATATGGAACAGTCTTCCCTCCGAAACTCGCATGGCGGATGAACTACATACGTTTGTAAAACTGCTTAATCAAGCCCTCACTCACACTGATCTTGCACGTACGAACACATCTGCGCCCCACTCAGATATCATAGGCTCTCTCCATGTCTAGACTAAAATGGACTTCAAATTCAATTTGCCTTATTTTTCCTACTTTGCAGTTGTATTAATTACTTTTTCCACCCTATTTCTTCACTTGAAGTAGACAGGTAACTCACTGGACCTATCATTACTGTTAAACTAAA